TTAGTTGCTAAACTGTGGGTTTTAGAATTTTTTGTTAAATATTCAAGAGATTCGAAATTCAACCAATAAGAAATTCAATTTTTACGTGTATATCAATGATCTTGAATTTTGAAAGAGAATTCTTTTAGAGATTGTTTGATAGTTTAAAAAATTATTGGCAAAGTTAAACGACTTCCGTTTCAATAAAACTGACCCTTCGGTCAATCATAAAACTTATAAATCACATTTAAGCCAAACAGCCCTCATAATAACATAATTTCGTAATTACATAATTTATAATGTAACGTAATTCCTCAAAAACTCTTTTAAGGATGTCATATATCCAAAAATTACTGCTGAAGTTAAAAGACTTCCGGTTCAATAAATGTCAACCCCCGGTCGACCATAAAACATAAATCACAGTCAAGCCAAACAGCCCTCATAATACCACCTAACAACACGTATCACTAAACCCACATCATATACTCCTCATCAGCTATCCCTTCCAATTCAACAATTATCCTTCTATTTATCGACCGATTATAAGATACAGCAGAGTATGCCAACAGAATGACTCACTTTTTAATAGCATAGCAGAATTTCAAAATATCAAAGAAACATGATTAACATATAACATGATAGAAAATATAATTTTCCGACAGCAGAAATACAATCACACTTATCTATACAAAATAAGCTGCTGACGAGCATTGAAACTAATGAAGACAGTAGTAGAAGGCACATCTTAAGTACAGAAACTTAATCTCCCATTTATATTTAAACAGCGTTATCACGTGTTATTAAGTCGTCCCGTTGAGACACTCTACGTTTTCGAACGAAATCGGCGCTGAATGAAATCCCGAAGGGTGGAGAACCTCGGGTAGGACACACACGTGCACACAGACTTCCCGCTCGCCGTACCTTCATGGTGTCCGTCGTGTAGTAGTAGCCGGTGTATGCGAAAACAGCGCGAGATACTAACTGATAGCCGTCATCCCGAGACGATGCCCTTATATCTATCTCCCACCCGCGGCGCTTCTTTCGTTACACCAGGCAAAAGCTTCTATTAGTCTTCTCCTACTCGCCGTCTCCGCAAACCGCCCCCACCTGAACGTAGGTACTCTCTCGCTATCCAAGTTTCCCCTGGAAGAGGACAGAAGAGAAGGCGACGAACGTCCACGTGCCGACGAATGGATGCCACTCTTGCGGCCACTTCCGGTCCCAGGACTTGGCTCGCTCATAGATCAGGTGTCAAAGCCTTGCGGGTTTGCATATCGTTCTGCTCTGTCCGTTCGTTCGTTGGTTTCCCAGGATTTTTAAGGATTAAGTATACAACTTAAAGGATCTTCTTCTTATTGAGGTATTGTACATACAAAACCAATAACATGTGTTTGAACATTGATTGAGAACACTGATAAAAAATGTTTGACAATTACTTTATGAAGATTTTCAATACCTCCCTCGTGATGGATGGGTGAGAAATTAATTTAGCAAGAAAACGAGCGCGCTGAGAGGTAATAGGCGTGGTAGTCATCGTCGCGTTGCCGCGGTTACGTTAGGAAGTGTCGTAATATTTAGGAACAAAGCTCGCCCGTGTGCCTGCCAGGATAATGGAGCAGTGCTCCACGTAGATGCAATCGCATGGGCTAAGTAATGCGCAGATTCGTTAATGATCGCGAACCCTTTACCTCCCTTTTCCAGCTACGTGTGAGCCCGTCTCGCAATTACCTCTTTCCTCGATACATAATTATTCTCCTGCTACCTTAGAATCATTTAGATGTACGTATAAAATTCTTTAGGGAAGAGAAGGAAATTTTATATGTACACTCAAAGGATTTAATAATTTTCAAAATAAAATACAATTTATAATATTTAGAGCAGAAAACGAAGCTTCAGATGCATTTCGTTCCTTTTTATTTGTGAAAATTTGCATAAACATCGGCAGTCTAGTAATGTAAATTAATTTTCTTAGAAAAAAACACTGAAAGTATATTTTTAATGCGATACCTTTGAATATCTCGGATTTTGTATGATTCTTAGTGAAATGTATTTGAAATTAAGACACGAGGGCGCGGTTGCACTTTTGCAAGTGACGCAACGTCAGACCGGGAACAACAAAGCTCATTTGTCTACCCGAACGAATGGCACGGTTTTCTTGCACATTAAGGCGACTCGTTTGTATAATCGTTCCGTGTGTGGAAGTTATGCAAAGAGAAAATTTCGCTCGCTTATGGCAACCTGCGAGCAACACCATTTTCAGTAGTCACGATTAATATTTCGATTTATATTTTTATTTCATTTCCACTTGAAATTTTTTACCTGAGAACGATAATTGACGCGTTTTCGGTCTGTCGGAACGCGCGATTGCGATTCGAAATGCGAGCACACGTCAAAACGATTTGCGAATTAAGATAAAAAGGAGCCAGTTGGAACGCGGACGAGATTTGGATCGAGCTCCTTTCCGCGCTGTTTGACAGAAAGATATGAATCCCTCATCCCCTGCATGATTCATCGGCGTCACTTTTAGAATTCAGATCTTTCAAGACGTTCCCTCGTGACTCACAAAATCTAATAAAAGAAAATGTCAATTTTTAGACGATTTGTATTACGAAACAATTTTTTTATACTTATTTCAACTTCATTCTGTATTAGATTTTCAAATGCACATACTTGAAACAATACATAGGATACTCGGAAACAATTTATATCAAAATGTAAGAAATGAAAGTCGAAATAGCATCGGAAATCGAAAACAAATGAAAGAAAATAGTGAATACAATTCCAGTGAAATAAAGATAAATTGTGCAAACAGAAGAAAACATAAAAATAAAAAATAAAGAGGAATGAGACTTATAAAGGCGAAGGCGATATAAAAGGGAAAGAGATAGATGAGACGATAATAAATAGACTACGGAAATGACAAATGTCGAGTATAATGTATAAAACAATTTAGAATATCAAAAGCTAGATATCTCAATGTTTAAATGATCAAACAAATGTTTATATGAAACAGATTTATCAAACTGATGTTAAAAATGTCTTATTTTACATAAACTGCAGATTTTTATCTGCAATCTAATAACGAATAAGGGAGAGTAGTAAACGAATAATAAATGATAGAATAAGAATATTGTTTAAGAGCCGCAGTTCAATTGCAAATACACACACATTTAACGAACAATAGAGGCTCATACGAATTTCTAAATTTAAATATGTTACGTAAACGTGAACATTTTTTTTTTCGCAACCGCATCCTTGAAAAATATTACCTGAAAGACACATAACATAACAGGTTTGAAGAAAATGATCTTAAGTAACTTGGTCGCGGTTGCCAAATCGCTGAGCGATCCCATTAGACACCGCGAGAATCCTTCGTGTATATGCGAGATACAATCGATCTCTCTTCTTTTTCGCTAAAGCGGAACAGTTGGAAGTCGCTCGGTCCCGTAGAAGGACCTTGCGAACCCGAGGACAAGCTTTACGGCCAGTTACAAAGGATAATGCCGGTGGTCAGACCGCGTGAAAGGGTCATTAAAGAGGAGTACCTGTTACTCACGAACGACGAACATCGGAAGACCCACTGTCAACGCTTCCTTTTAAACAATATAAATTCATAAATTGCATTTCCTCACGAACATAATTTTCATTGTCAATTCTCCTCCTAAATGAAATATTTATTGCATCCTTTTACAATTATCAATTTACAACCGAGGAATATCTGTTAAAAACACACAAAGTTAAAAATGCTCGATACAAAAGTTTGTCACGTTCGCAGAAAAGTGAAAGCAGTTATTTCTCTACTGATTCCAAAGCATGGTACGTAGGTTGACGTAGCGGCGTAGTAGCCGTCTCTGGAAGAGGGCCCAGAACTCCACGTCGTCCCCGTGTTACGATTCTAACAGCCGTGAAACCGTGAAAGGTTGGCTCGTGACCGTAATGTCGAAGCGAACAAATACGCCGGCTGGCTAATGCTGGGACACGGCTCTGTGTCGTCGGGCTGTTTAGTATTGCTCGGCGAACTCGAAATGGCAGTAGGAACCACTCCCACGGCTCCACGGATCGCAGCCAATTTCCGGCTTCTAACAATCTCTGACGGGCCACTTCCTGTGATAGTTTTTTCCATTTCTCGCTTAGGGGGTTGAATGAGATAGTTTCAGGGATGTTTTCCAAAGGATTATTTAATAGGTAAATTAATCATTTTCTATTGTTAATCTCATGGATAGATTATGGATCTTCGTGCGAATTATTATGGCGAACAATTAAAAGAATGCAAACTTTTAAAGATGAGGACACCTAAGAAAAATCACGTTATTAATTTATTTTGAAGAATTATCCTCTTTTCTATAGATATTTGACTTTTATTACAAAAATCTCTAGCAATATCAAATGCTTAACACTTTGTGAGCAGTATTAGTTTCTTATAAGATACAATGCAAAATAAAATCTGTAATCATTTTTTTCATAGGTGCCCTCAGTTTCTAATTCAATCACGCGTTTTTAAAAGCTTTACCTAACAATGTACAACAAAATCTGATAGCTAGTTCTATTTGCAAATTCATAGCTAACAAACCTGGTTAATTACCATACCTAATTCATCAACGACTAATACTGAATATTTCTTTATTCTCATCCTTGTGGCATTACGTGACGTTACAAAAACCGGACAATAATTAACGTACTCATCAGGCGTAAAATCGACATATCACTTGTGAATAATTTATGATAAGTAGAAGGATCAAACGTTGATCATCATTCATTATTGGATCACCGTAATTGCAATGATTCAACGAAGTATTAGATTCCGAAGGTTTTGCCCTGTTCCCCGGCTCGTTGCTCTCCTCCTGTCACGCCTCTGTCAATCGGCCACCATTTGTGACGCAATTCATTGTTTACGAGCGGCATTTCAATACAATCGTGTGAGAACGCCGTGGAACGTGGGGAAGAATCGTATCCTTGGCACACCCCGGCTCACGAAGCGTTCAAAGGAACCTGGAGCTAGGCCTTGCTCGCTCGAGACCGTATTCGGCTTCCCAAGGGAACCCGATTCGCTCTCGATTCTCTCCGAATCATCGGGCGCCAGTCGATTATCTAAACTACCCAGCAGTTCGTTTGCGAAACTACAATTGTAATAACAGTCGTGTATTTTAGTAGAACTTCAAGCTTTCAGTCTCGTGGATTTATAACATCTGCGAAATGAACAATTTATCAAAAATCGTAGAACATTAGAAAAAAGACAACCTTTACTATAATTTAAACTATCAAT